AAAAAAAAAAAAAAAAAAAAAAAAGCAGGATCGGGGTTACTATGGAGACTGATATGCACGCCTTCCCATCGTACCAACCTTGCCCGGCTTCCCCGATCTGTACGTGGGGGCGTCAACTGCTGGAAACCAGGTTCAGCGTCCCATTGAAATACTTGGAAATGGTGAAATGTTCCCGTGGTAGCCTTTCCCATTGCCTTTGCATCACTACGCAGGGTTTGCACTGCAGGGGCATGGTCCCACTAGCAAGGGGGGGATAGGATAGAGAAGAGTTCGTGTGGCAGTTGAGTGACCCAAATCCTTCCGTGCAGTACTTGTGAGTGATCCCACGGTCAGTATTTGACATGTATCACCCGAAAAAGTAAGGAGATCTTTGCTCCCCTCATCCTTAAACCACCCTTACTTGGCCCATACATCGGCCGCGGGGTCCTCCCCGCGACTCTCGGAGGCCGGCTGCTCACTCTGGGCCATTGATGCAATTTATCATCGGCCCAGAGGCCGTGAAAGTTGCGGGGCATTAAAGACAACGCCGGCCACTGGTGGTTTAACACTGGGCATGCCCATGCAAAGGAAGCTTCCCGCCAGAATCTTTTCAATCCGTTGGGGGTATTGCCAATCCCAAGAGAGGGTGGGATAGACCATAGGCCCACTGGATAGAAGATTTTCAGTATTTTGCTTGCTGTTGTGCAATTATCTCATTGGGTGGAGCCCTCCTTCAATCACGGAGTATATGGAGGGCGGCATGATCACTGATAACAGAAGTCAAGTTTATTCCAGAAAAATGTGGCAGTTACTTTGTTCAGTGTTCGACTTTTGTTGCAACCACCACCGTCAGATGATTTGTGATCTGATGGCTGGGAAGCAGTCTGCCATGATTTCCGGTGGGAGGTCTCTGTTTTTTTTTGTTTGTTTTTTTTTGCCTTTCTCCTGTTTTCTCAGCCCAGAAATCCGTAGTGAACCTGTCAGGCCGCTGCCACACAGTGTCACACTGGATCGGCCACACTCCTATCCCAGTGCTGATTGGACCAGGCTCCTGGGGCGTGGTCCCACTTGCAAAGAGGATCGGATCGAATGCCTGAATCGGGACGAGTTTATGGAGAT